CCACCCATCAATCCATCCAACCCACAATCCATCACCACACATCATCCATCACAACCCACCAATCATCACCACTCTTTCCATCATCCTCCATCAACCACATCTCATACATCCACCATATTCCAGCCGTCCATCAACCATCCATCTGTCCTTCCACTATCCATCACCCCTCTCATCCATTACCCATTTGCATCCCTACCCATCCATCCATCACACACATCATCACCACACATCATCTCCACCACCCACATCCATCCAACCATCCATCTCATCCACCCACCATCATTCCCCATTATTCACATCATCCATTCATCAACCATCATCCATCCATCCACCATCATCAAGGCCGTCCAATCACATCATTGTCCATCAACTATCCATCACCCCCATCATCCATCCTTACCTCATGCATCCATCGACCCTTTCCATCATCCCCACCACATCATCCACACCATCATCCATCCCACCACCCACCATCCTCCCACCCATTCATCCTCACACCCACATCATCCACACCCATATCAATCATCTCCATCATCCACCACCATATCCAATCCTCATCCATCCACCACCCATATCTATCATCATCCATCCACACCCTTCCATACATCCACCACCTCATCATCCATCTTCCATCCATCACCACCATTCATCCATACACCATCTCATCGATTCCAACCACCCATTTTCATCCATCCACACACCATCATTCCATTCTTCTCCATCCAATCACCATCCATCTCTCCATCACATCCCTTCAATCCTCCTCCCACCATCCATTCAACCCACTCTCCATCCATCACTCACCTTCCTCCATCACCTCATCATCTCTATCATCACCATATTTCCACCACACCATCCATCCACAAACCTCATCATCATCCACCCCATATCCCTCACACCCATCATCATCCACATCATCACACCACCATCCATCCAACTATCTCCCTCCAACCATCACATCATCCATCTTACCCCTAATCCATCACCCACCCATCATCCATCCATCACCCATCCATCCATCCACCACCCATCATCCATCCACCACCCATCATCCATCCACCACCCATCATCCATCCATCCATCCACCACCCATCATCCATCCATCCATCCACCACCCATCATCCATCCATCCACCACCCATCATCCACCACCCATCATCCATCCATCCATCCACCACCCATCATCCATCCATCCACCACCCATCATCCATCCACCACCCATCCATCCATCCACCACCCATCATCCATCCATCATCTACCCATCCATCCATCCAACACCCACTCATCATCCATCATCCAGCTGTCCATCCATCTAGCCATCTGACAGCACATAGATGCTGAGCACCCCTCCGTGCCAGGCCCTGGGACAAGCCCTGCGCTCTGTTCTCCGAAGGCCACAGCATGTTGAGAATGGAGGAGAGCAGATTATAACTGCAATGATGGAAACAAACCCCGACTGCTGGCTGGGGAGGTCAGTGCTCCTGGGAGGAAGGGACTTCCAGGGTGAACAAGGGTCAGCCTGCCTGAGGCCGGAGGACGTTCCAGGCCTCATGTGCGTGCAGGACACAGTGGTACAGGGGCAGCCCCAGACCCCGGTGCGGGAGCTGGGAACAGGTGGAGAGCCTGGTTGGCCTCATTCCCGAACCTGCTCTTACGTGGCGGCCCCACCTCTCCAAGGCTCATGTCCTGTTTGGCCACTGCTCTCAGGGGCCGGCCCCACCCTGCTCCACTGTCTCTCGCCCTCAGGTCTGAGCAGCCAGCGTGGTGCCCTGGAGCCTCAGACCCAGACAGGATGCATGACTTACTCACTTGCAGAGAACATGCTACATGTGTGGGGTAGCCCAGGTATGAGTGTGCATGTACACATATGGTCATCTATGCACGTGTGTACACATGCACACAAGCATGAACATGGGAGTGTATGTGTTGTGTTCGAGTGCATGTGTGTGCATGTGTTTGCCTTGCGTATATGCAGGCATGTATACATGTGCACACACATGGCTGGCTAGGTGAGTGCATGTGTACATGGCATGTGTGTGCCTGGCACCTGTGCACACCCAGGGCACGAGGGGCCCCAAGAACAGGCATGACTGTGCTCGTACATGGGCGGCTGCATGAATATGGAGCAGGACTTGCATGGGGTTTCCAGGCCAAGGCGTTCCTGGCACTTGTGGGTCAGAGCAGGAGAACCTGACAGGCACCTCCAGGCATGTTCTGCTATTTCCCACCCTGGGGGGCTCACAGGCCCCGTCAGGTCGCCTCTGGGGGGCACCGAGATCTGCAGACCTCGATGCAGACACGGCCCAGCCGCTTATCCCCACAGGCTCTTCCTGCATCTGCCTCCCCCCCCCCAAGCTACAGCTTGTCGTTTTCTAATCCCGTAAGACAGAGAAATGTCAAGGATGATTTAACACATGCAATGTGCCTGGAGGCACATGTGCACATGCATGCACACGCACACACATCCACACACGTGTGCACGTCTGCAGGTATGAAAAGTTATTAATACGGTCTTACAGAGAGCTCGACAGTGCAGAGAATGCAAAGTTAAGTTCCTCCTAACAACCATCTGCAGGGCCTGTCACCAAAGTGCTCCTCCCCACAGAGCTGCCCTCCCGCGTGCTGGGGCCACAGAGACACCGGCACTCGGCCCGCAGGACGCAGGGCCTGTCACCGAAGTGCTCCTCCCCACAGAGCTGCCCTCCCGCCTGCCGGGGCCACAGAGACGCCTGCACTTGGCCCGCAGGACGCAGGAGCTGGGACCTGGCCAGGCGCCCCTCGAGCCTGCAGCCCGGGGCCGGCGGGCTCACCCTGCATCTTCTCCAGCTTGGCCATGTACGTGAGGAACAGAGAGTAGATCCGCTCCGTCTCTCGGTCCCCGTCGACGTCCAGCTGGATGTTGGCTGGGAGGCCCCTGTCCAAACACGGCGCGAACAGACCAGTAAGGACTCCGATTTAAATAACGCTCTTCAGTCCCACCTTTGAGAGCTCCGGGGGACTGAATGACCGTCAAGCGCTGAGCACACACGAGGCTGTCACTGCGTCCCCGTCACACGCACAAGTGTCTCAGGGGCACAACCGGGCGAGGCCAGGCACCCCGGTCTCCTTCCTAGACTGGCAGAGACGACCCAAGGCCCACAGGGACCAAGGGAGGCCGGCTGATGCCACCAGGCAGATAACGGCCTCCCGAGAACATGGGCAGGAAGCAGCTTTTGGGAGGCGGCGTCCTCCTAGGCCCCGCTCAGAGAAACAGGACAGCACCCACCCGGGTCCTCTCTGCACCGAGCCCCCTGTCCAAAGGTTTCCGGGGCAGGAGGCTCCTTGGACGTTGCAGAGCGAACAGCCCTGCCGCCTGCACCCTCAGACACGCCTGCGCGCCTGCGCACAAACCCCCGCTGTGCGTCGGGTGTGGGGCAGACCTACCCCGTGCAGGGCGTGCAGCCCGCGGCCGTGTCCGAGGACGCCCGGCAGCACAGCCAGTGGCCGTTGAGGTAGGCGGACGGGTGGAAGACGCTGAGCCGCTTCTGGTTGCACTGGCTCACTTTGGTGAGGATGTCGATCCAGTCCTTGGCCTCCACGCAGTTGTTGGCCTGGATGTACAGCGCGCGCTCGGGCTGCACCACCTGGAACATCTGCGGGGGCGGAGCGCACTCAGGCGGCGCCACACGGCTAGAGTGCGGCGGGCACTTGGCGTGGGTCATCCGACCCTCGGAGGGGCTGAGGCCCCGCTCTGAGGCAGGAAGCGCCAGGAGTGCTCAGGCTGGGGGGCAGAAGGGGGCTTTCCCTCTAGCCGGCACCTCCTGTCCTGGGGCCCCCGGTCTCCATTCCCGGAGCAGAGCGGGGCAGTCTCCCCACGGCACCCCGGAGCTGACCACGGGTGCCGCATACACGTGGGGCTTGCTCCTTGGGTCTCCCTGTTTGCTGACTCGAGTGTGCTGTCCTACCAGGGGCTCGGGAGCTGGCCCTGCCCACCTGCCTGTTCCCAGCCCCCGCCCCGCCACCCTCGCCCCCAGCTGCCTCCTCTCTAGCCAGGTGCTGGGGCCTCATGAGGCCTCCCAGCACCCATTGGCGTCTAACAGTCAACAAACGCGACTGACTGCCAGGTACCTCCTAGGTCTTGGGACATTGTGTGGCCCGAGTCCCTGACCTTGTGAACATCCCGCCAGCACTACAAACAGAGGAGGCACAAAGCACAGGGGCGTGTGGGGGCGGGGAGACCACGTGCGTGGTCCCAGCGGCGCTCAGGTCTGGAGAGGAAAAGAGGTGGAGAAAGCGGGTGGGGGCGCAGGGCGTCCCAGGCGGGAGGGATGGGGGGGACAAATCCTGAGGTGGGAGGGGTCTAGGACTCCCAACAACACAGGCCAGGCTGTGCCAGAAGGCGGGGTGAGCGAGCGGGGAGGTCGCCACTTGGTGCGCAGTGAGGCACGGTGCGCAGTGACGCACACTCTCCACACTGCTGGGTCCCCACCACGAGGAACAGGATCCCTCCGCGGGGAATCCCCGTCCCTTTCCTCTAATTCCTCCGTGAGCCCAAACTCACATCAGAATAAACGAAGCTCCACGGAGAAACCCCGACATCCCCAGCCCGCTCCTGGTTCCTTGCCAGGAAGCCGGCGGGAGCAGCGGGTTCTGCCCGGGACCCCCAGGGAGAGCCGCCCCCTCGGTGCAGGTTGGACGCAAAACCCAGCTGCACCCACAAACCCGCTGGGGGCGCGCAGACCCGGGGACGCGCAGACCCGGGGGCGCGCAGACCCGGGGACGCGCAGACCTGGGGACGCGCACTCACGTTCTTCATCTTGAAGGACTCCTCCTCCAGCCGCTCCACCGCCAGGATGTTCTCGATGGGGATGCTGCACAGCGGCGGGTCCCCTGCGGCAGAGGCTCCGTGAGCCCAGGGCCCCCACCCCGGCCCTGGCGGGAGGCCGCATCACAACAGGCCTGTGGGTGCCTGGACATGCGGCCCCATTGGCCTCCTGCGCCCTCCAGGCAGGACCATTGCTGAGCCTAAACGGCCATGACCCCCGGAAACGCACTCGCCATTCTGGTGGGGAGGGGAGTCCCGTCCCACACTTCATCGTCTGGATGGGGCGTTTCAGACCCAGGAGAGAACAGCCAAGAGGGAACAAGGCTTCTCCCTGACCCAGTGAGCCCAACCCCTGCGGCGGAGCTGTGCGCCCGGCCACCCTCTCCAACGCGCAGTGAGGTTATCAGCGGAGCATGGACCACGCACGCGCAGCTGAGGGAACCTCCCCAGCACGGCCTGCCGGGTGGCACGCGCACCCCCATGCCGAGTGCCACAGGCCGGGCCACGGCCACAGACAGGCGGGCACAGGAGCAGCAGGGCCTGCGCACGGGAAGGGCCTCGTGGCCTTGTCAGTTTTGTATTTGTGGCGGGTTCTTAAGACTAAGTTTCTCACCCATCCCGGTGCAGAGGTGTCTCAGGCTTCCTCCACCCGGCATCTGCACCCCCAGGACAGCCCTTCCCGCCCCGTCCCCGCAGAAAAGCAGCCGCTCAGGGCGCAGGTGAGGCGCGAGTTACCTTTGCTTTTCTGGTAGGTGAATTCGTGGTTGGTCAGGCGAAACCATCTCTTCTTGAAATTCTTCATCCCAAAGCGCTTTCTCCCCTGCGCCCTCTTGATCATGAACCTGTCGGGAAGAACACGCAGTCCGGGAGGGTCCTAGAGGCAGGCACCTCACCCTCCCCCACCACTGGGAGGGACGGGGTGTTCCCACGTGCTGGGACCCCCAGGAGGTCAAAGGAGGAGACAAGATGCGCCACCATGTCCCCCGCCAAGGACCACGGAGAACACGGCGGCGGAGGAATCGAGCTGAGCTCACAGGCAGGTGCCCAAGGCCTTCCCCGCCCCCCACCGCGCCCCCAGCCTCCCAAGAGGAAACCCTGGGAGTGTGGGCAGGAGGTGGGTGTGGCTGGGCAGCGTGGGGATCCCCACCCCCAGGCCGTGCACCGCCCCCCAGGCTCTTCTCCACGGGGCAGAGTCTCGGAGAAGGGACAGGAGGCCGAGGGACTCCAGCCAGAGCCCCACCGCCCTGGGGCCACCGTGCCTCCATGGGCCGCAGCCCACCCACATCTCCCCATCCACAGTGGCGCTGCTTACCCTTCCTTGAGCAGGATGGGCTGCTCTACGCTCTTGGGGTCTCTTCTCCCCGAGGACGAGATCAGATCTAGGAACTGCGGTGGGGAAGCAATCAGGCCGTTAGCGGGGCAGCCACCCCTCCTCGCACACGTGTTCTCACGCATGGTGTCGGCTGGGGACCTGCGTCTCCTCAGAGCAGGCTGCGGGGAGGTGACGGTCACTCTGTGTGTCCTCCTGCTGTGCCCTCAGGTGTGTGGAGGTGAGAGGCCAGGCTCAGGGCACACCTGGAAACCCACCTGCAGCTCACAGGGGAGCGGGCAGGGCGGATAGAAATGGGAGATCCTGGCAGGGGAGGAGGCAGCACAGGTCCACCCGGAGCGGCCACTTCCCACGGGCAGGCACCGCCCTGGTTCCCTGAGTGCCAGTTGCAGGGGTGGGGGGGAGGGGTTTTGGTAGGTTTTGGCAGGTGGGGTCTCCCTGGGATCCTCCCACTAGCTGGGGACCGCTCCCAGCACCGCTCGCTCCCTTCCCTTCTGCACAGTCCGGCAGCGCTGCACCCAGGGCTGCGTCTGGGTGGCAGACAAGGGCAGAGCTCTGGGTGCAGGGCCTTTTCTCGCAGCTGCCGCCCGGCTCTGGCCAGGGCCCAGGGCGCCACAGCTGAGGCGTGGGGTGAGCAAGGCCACGACACTCGCAGGTGCCCGCGCAGGTGGCTGGAGGGGAGGGGCTCAGACTCGGAGCGTGAGGGGCCAGGGGTGGAGCCGAGGAGAGCCAAACAGCCCTGGGAGGGGTGGGCGCCCTGGAACCGGAGGGTGAGTGGGCAGCGCCGCGAGCAGCTTCTAGGCGCTGAAACATTTTGGGCTGGGCGTTGCCGCCAATTTCGTGCTGTGCAGATTCCACCTCAACCAGAAGGGGCCACGCTGTTTCCTGGGACCGGCATGACAGGCGGCGAGCGTGGTAGGCTCCGTGGACACTCACGTTTTTCACAGCGTCCGCGTACTTCTGCTCGTTGAAGAACTCGTAGAACGTGGCCATGTAGGACTCCTTGAAGCTGGCCTGCAAGGAGACCGGCAGCGGTGAGGGCCGGAGAGTGCGCGGCTCGTGGTCAACCAGGAAGGCCAGAGGCACTGACTGTGTACGACCAGGAAGGCCAGAGGCACTGACTGTGTACGGCGATTCACGTGAGACCCGGAAACTGCCGGGTGCGTGGCAGAGCCCACGGGCCAGCCCTGACCAGGAGTAGCCCAGGCGTGTGCAGAAAGGAGCTGGGGACAGGTGTGGCTTCCCAGATGGGGCTTCGGGGGCTGGGTCACAGGCCCCAGGGCTGACGGAGCCCATGTCCCGCCCGAGAGTGGCCGGCAGGGTCAAGTGCTACCGCAGGGGCCGGGCGGCGGCCCGAATCACGATGGCACCAAGGCGTGGCTGCCTCAGGACTGTCAGGGGCCAGGTGTTCGCTGCCCTGCAGGGGAGCCGTGCCCACGCACTCTCGAAAGGCAAAGAATGGCAATTCCGGAGGGCGCAGACGCGCCTGGAAGGCTCCAGAATGTTCTATGTGTTAACCACTTCGGTACGAGGGTGGACTATAGTCGACAGCCACAGATGAACCGAGCATCGACTTTAACCGGCAGCCGTGATATGACTTCTCTAATTTTTCATTCATCAAGATAAAATTGTGAACATGTAAAAATAACGTAATGAAAACATATGTGTATGTGTTACCTATTCTAGTTTATGTTGCAAGTAAAGCTGCCTGTAAAGTAAAACAAGCTTTCAGTGCTTTGAAGCTTTCCTCATCACACAAGAGCAAGACTGACTCGTCGTCAGCGCACAGCACAGACCGCCGTGCGGACCGTGAGTGCGGCTGTGGGCGAGGTGTCGCGGTGGCCGGTGAGCGCCGCCCGTACCGAGGTGGTTAAGGTGGTTGGTGTGGATTTGGGGCTAGGTTTCCCGTTTGTTCCTTGTCCTTGTGATGTGCTACAGGTGCCCGCGTGTGAGGCCCGCTAGCTGTAGCTCCCAAAGAGAGAAGGGAATCGGCGTGCTCTCACGAGAGAGACGCGGACGGCGTTGGACTTACGGACTTGGACTTGGACAGGCTGCCGAGCGTCTGGATGGTCTTGGAGACCAGGGTCAGGGTCCGGGAGGTCTGGGGGTCCTGTGGGACGGGGCAGGGCCACGTGAGCAGCTCTGTCCCAGTCCTGCAAGAGGCCGGGACTGGCCCCCGCGGGACACAACGAGCATCGCCCGCAAGCCGCTGCAGCGTGTGCGCGAGCTCCGGTGAGACGGAACGATCTGGAAAGCCTTTGCTGGGGAGCAGCAGCTGCAGTCTCAGGCTCTGCCCAGACCCGCGGCCTGCGTTCCCACGCGTGCGCGGGAGCCCGCCATGCTCAGCCTGGGGGTTAACCTAACGCCAGCAGGGAAGGGGCCCCTCAAACCCTCGCCCCGACTCCTCCCAGCCCTGCCATGCCGCACACGGATCCTCTGACGTGTGGCGACCTGTGTCCCCGCAGAACATCCACCCCCAGAACCAGGGGAGCCGGCACACGGCAGGTGTCTGCCCACCAGTGTGTGTTCGAGCACACACGAGGTCACACGTGCTCCACAGGGGGGAGGGACGTGGTGACAGCAGCCGCAGCCCTGCTCAGACCCCCCCCACCTCTGTGACAGCGTCGACCCTCCCACACGCACAGGCCGGGCAGGCAGCGAGAGCTTGGCGAGCCGCCAGCCACGGGTCGGGCCAGGAACGCCTGCGCCCACTCCCCTCAGCGCAGGGGCGCCCGGCACCTGGGGGGGCTGGCTGGTTAGGGGGGCAAATGGGTTAGGGGAGCGGCTGGGTCAGGGGGGCTGGCTGGTTTAGGAGGACGGGCTGGTGTAGGGGGCTGGCCATTTAGGGGGGCTGGCCGGTTTAGGGGGCTGGCTGTTTGGGGGGCTGGCTGGTTTAGGGGTCCTGGCTGTTTAGGAGGGCTGGCTGGTTAGGAGGGCTGGCTGGTTAGGAGGGCTGGCTGGTTAATAGGACGGGCTGGTTAAGGGGAGCTGGCTGGTTAGCAGGTCGGGATGGACACCAGGACGCCGGGGCGGCGCTGGCCCACTCACCGTGTGGTGCGGCGTGAGCTGGAAGAGGTTGGGGGAGAGGATGGCCGGGGCGAAGAACCGCAGGAAGATGAAGCTGCTCACGGCCGTGTACCGCACGTCCGGGTCGTCTGCAGAGACAGAACTGCCCTTTCCATCCGCACGGGCGGTGGGGCCTCGTTCCGGGGTCTGCCGTCCTCTGGGGTGTGAGGACGTGAGCTGTTCACTCCATCTTGTCCCCAGGCGGGGCTGGGGCTGGGGTCCTGCCTCCCCGCCCAGGCCACCGCCCAGCCTGGGACTGCCCCGCCCGCTGCCGAGGGCCCAGCCAGCCGTAGGCCAGGGGGGGCTCTGCTTGCGGGACCAGAGGGCCGGCGGGGCGTCCAGGCAGGAACACAGTGGGCCCAGGGCCGTGCAGGGCGCAGGCGCAGCCAGGCTGCCCAGGAGGGAGCAGCGGAAGGCGCCAGGCACTCGCTGAGCCTCAGAGCTTCTCCCAGGCGGACGCAGGATTCAGAAGCAGGGTCCAGGTCCCGGGAAGCCCCAGCTTATGTGCTCAGCAGGGGACAGCCCCACCCGAGACATCATCATCTCCGTGCAAACGCCCCGGTGCTGAGTTCAGGACACGGCACCTGCCCAGCCTGGTCGGCTGCGGGAAGCCCCACTGGCGGCTGGATGTTTCCTGAGCGGAGCCCAGGCCAGGAGAGCCAACCTTCCTCCTAGGGAAGCCCAGCGGCTGCCTCCCTGCTCGGGGGCAGGGGTCCACCGCAGTCAAGAATTGGGGTGCAATGACCGCGGGCGTGGACCCCGCAGAACCCGGTGCCAGCCCCCTGGCACCAGCTCTGGCCCAGCAAGCTGCACCGTCCCCTGGCTGCGGGTGCCAGCGGGTGGCGGGGGCAGGGGGTTCCGCGGCCGCTTCTCCCCAGCACGAGTCTCCACCAACACTCACCCTGGAAGCGCTTGGCGGCCGCCTCCCGGAGGGAAAAGAAGATGTCGCACATGACCGTGGGGCAGCTCACCCCGGACGTGGTGATGGCGTGGAAGACGTGGTCCACGAACTGCCGCAGGTTCTCCTGCAACGGGACACAGGTGCACTGGCGTGCCTGGGACCTGGGCTCTCCCTGCGGCCGCCGTGTGGGCTGCGCTGAGCGTCGGTCCGGCCCAGGGAGGGAGCGAGTCTGCTGGGCCGGGGCAGCCACCGCCCTGCGGCGGCAAAAGACACACTCGCGCGATGGTTAAGAAGCCAACCCCTTTCAAACAGGTGCTAAACAGCTGCAATAATCCGTGTGGTGTAGCCACGACTCTGGTCTCTGGGGAGCCGGGGTCCCTCTTCTCTCTCGACCCCCTGAACCGAGGGCAGAATTGAAATTCACTGGGATGCACCTGCCCGGTGGCAAGAACTACTGTGTCATTTAAAGGCACGCCCCGCCCCCGTGTGATCTGCATGAGGAAATCACATAAAATGTTGGGAGGACGCTGGACACCAGGGAGCTTCGCTGTTTTAAGGAACGGGACTCGGTCCGGCGAGCGGCCCGAGGCAGCCGGGTTTGCTGGGAGGACGGAGAACAGGCAGAGCAGACCAGGGCGGACACCGGGACAGGGGGAGGACACCGGGGCTGACGCTGGCCAAGCCTCGAGGCAAACGTCCCCCACCGCATCCTGGCCGCTGACCCAGAGCCCTGGGGCGAAACAGCGTCCACACGGACACAGGCTGAAAAGCCCCCAAGTAGGCGCCCGGCTTTGCACAGTGTCTTGAAGAAACAGGACTTACCATGTTGTTCTCGAGGTTTTCTCCGTCTTTCAGCCTCACCGGGTCGATCTCACAAGACTTGTGGCTCTGGCATATCTGGAAGTCGTGGTCAGAACGGGGCTCTGAGAGGCGGCTCGGGGGCCAGGTGGGTGGGAGGGTGGAGGTCTCGGGCCTCCCGGGGACGGAGGGCCCGGTTCAGAGAGCTGCCTGGCGGCTCCCGGCCCTGCCCCATGTCTCCCATGCCTGGCTGCAGGGCCCGCCCCACAGCCCCCTGGTAGACAAGCGGGCTGTCAGGTGGGAAACAGCCCTCAGCGGCCGGCAGACACGCAGGACCCCTCGAGGGAGGCCTGCGTCAGCCCACAGGGGCCGAGGTGTCGTGGGGTTTGAGGACATTTTCACTTCACAGCGTTGTCCTGACTTTGCGTCCGCAGGATGTAAAACCAGGATGTTATCATTTAACATTTTTCTCACATTTGCAAAGAGCTTGTTTTAGAGCTTGTTTTTCACGGGGCCGCTCTGGGGAGTGATGGCTGCACAGCGCCCCAGTGAGGGGTCTGCCGGGGAGCCGGGCTGCGTGAAGGGGACGTGTACGGCCCGAGCGCGTCACGCAGCTGGTGCCCGGGCAAGGACAGATGTCCAGACCGGGGCTGGTGGAAGCCACGCGGCTCCCAGGACTCGGGAAACCCAGAAGCGTGTGGGGAGAGAAGAACCGAGTTTTTGCTACATGTCCTGTCGTTAGCTGAAGGATGCATTTTTTTCTTAAGTATATATATATATATATATATATTTTTTTTTATAATTTAAGAAAATGAGGAAGATTCTGGAATACACAAGAGCGCCCTTTCCACAGAAGCTAATGAAACGACGTCCCTGCAGGGAGGTGACAGGTGAAGCTGACGTCAAAGCCCCGGTGTTTGCAGGCTGGACGGTGGCGTGGGGGGTGGCGGGCTGGGGGACTCACCTCCTCGATGGCCGGCCCCAGCGTGACGTGCAGGTAGTGCATGCCCGCCAGCTTCATCGTCTCGTCGATGCACTTGGACGTCAGCGAGTTTCCCCGGAAGATGGTGTTGGGGTCCCTGGGAAACAGCGTCGGGGGCATTTGTCTCCCGTGACCCCAAAGCCCTCGAGGGAGCGGAGCCCATCCCTGACACCCACTATGAGGACATCGACGGGTCTGTTTCAGGAGCTTCCCAGGAGCGGAACCCACAGGGGCCAGCACAGCAGGCCACGCGGCCAGTCCGTGCATGGGGCGTGAGCGGCCCCTTCCTCCCGAGGTCCCCTGGCCCCTCTCTGCAGGGACTTTTTGCAGAGAACCCGCCCCGAAGCCCTGGGAGCGTGTGAGCAGCAGAGAAGCAAACGCCTCGTTGCCAGCCACGACGGGGACAAGCTGGACCCTTCCGGATCACAGGCGTCCTAGGGCAGCCCGCAGGTCCCCAGGAAGCGGCACCCCCCTAACCCCCTGTCGCCCCGGACTCCAGGACGCGGGCTCTCAGGGTGAGCGGAGACTGCAGAACCCCTGGGGCCTCCCAGAGAAGGCCCTTTCTGGAGAACCGGGGACTGTCTGCAGGCAGGCACGCGACATGGCCGGCGGGGCAGCACTCACTGCGTCCTCTGCACCTCGGCGCTGGCGATGGCGCTCACGAAGGCCACCACCCTGCCCGCGTGCAGCAGGAGCCGCGCCAGCGGGATGGCCGCCTCCTGCTTCTCCCGGCACACCTCGCCCAGGATGTGGGCCGCCGACGCGGACACGGGCTGGGGGCGGGGCGGGCGGTCAGCGCGGCGGTGGCCAGGCTTGGCCCCACCCGGTCGCGAGAGCCATGAGGGCGCCCAGCGCGCAGCCGGGGGCAGAGCCCAGCAAAGGGGTCAGGCGGCTGCGCAGTGCAGGGTGACCCCACCCCACCGGGAGGGACAGCTGGGACAGGCGGGCAGGGGGTGGGGCCTCAGGGGCTGGGGCGGGGCTGCAGGGCGGGGGCGGGGCCTGGTAGAGCTGGCCAGGGGGCGGGGCCTGGCCAGGGTAGGGCCACAGGGGCGGGGTGGGGCAGGGCAGGGACGGGGGCGGGGCCTGGTAGAGCTGGACAGGCAGGCAAGGGGGCAGGGCCTGGCCGGGGTAGGGCCACAGGGGCGGGGTGGGGCAGGGCAGGGACGGGGGCGGGGCCTGGTAGAGCTGGACAGGCAGGCAAGGGGGCAGGGTCTGGCCGGGGTAGGGCCACAGGGGCGGGGCGGGGCAGGGGCGGGGCTGCAGGGCGGGGGGCCTGGTAGAGCTGGACAGGCGGGTGGGGGGCGGGCAAGGGGCAGGGTGAGGCCTGGCAGGGGCGGGGCCAGACAGGTGGGCAGGAGGCGGGGCTGCAGACGAGGGGTGGGGCCTGGAGGGGTGGGGCCGGGCAGGGGCGGGGCCGGGCAGGGGCACCTGTCCCGCACCCAGAGGTTCTGGTGCCCACACAGGGGGCGCCCGGGCACACACCTCCACGTCGGCAGACTTGAGCAGCAGCTCCCGCAGAGGGCTGTAGTAGTCGGAGGAAAACACGTGGTCCTCGGTGTACACCACGTTCAGCCGCAGGGACCCCAGATCGTCCGGCTTCGGGCTCTTACTGCCGTTGTCCCGGGGCTGAAGGAAGTACCTGCGGGAGGACACGGAAGGGCGTGTGGGCAGCAGCGCCCTTCAGGGAGCTGGGCTCCCTGGGCGCTGTGTTGGGGTCTGGGGCTACCCTGCAGGACGCCCTGCAGGGTCTGGTCACCTGTCGTGCGCCCCAGCGCAGGTTCCCTACGGGGCTGCCCTCACAGCCGAGGGGAGGAGCTGATGGGGACAAGCGCAGGGGAGGCAGGTGGTCTGCCCACAGGTGCGCAGCCGTAGGGGGACTCTGCTGCCCGCACAGGGCACCTTGCAGAGTGACCCTGACAACGAGAGCAGGTGCAGGACAGAACTGAAACTGCTCTAACTCGCTGTGGGTGGCTTCGGACCTCAGAGGGGACGGTGACCTCGTGCAGGTGGGCCGAGCAGGCCCTGCGCACACAGTCATTAGGGGCTGATTTCTGACCGCCACGTTTCATCTTTGCAGCTGCCCAGGGGGGCCGACTGCATTGGCCGGGGGTGTGAGAGCGTGTGGACAGAGCTTGTGTCTGGGGCACCCGGCCACCAGTGGCCTTGGTGGGCTGCCCGGGCGGGGGGCCTGCTAAGCGCGAGCAGGAAACCTGACCGGTCCGGGGCCCCAGCCAGCGCTGTCTTCACGGAGCCCACGGGTTCCTGGCGATAGAAAACCGCCGCGGCGCCCAGGCAGCGTGGTGCAGAGCTACCACCAGGTCACCTGTGCTCTCACACAGCATGAGTCTGGGAAAGGTGTGACTCACGGAGAAATAACACGGAGGCCCATTGCTAATGCTAAGCACCAACCACCCCGAGGAAACAAGCAGCAGGCACGCGAGCTGCGGGCCCCGTCCTCGAGTGGGCTCCAGGGCAGAGCCCACGCCCCTCACGCTGGGAGGCGAAACGTGGAGAACTGCCCCAAATCACAGTGTCCTGGGAATCGCCCGGGGCTGCGGTAACCAGGTCTGTTTCCAAGTGCAAGGCCACGCCCACCCTGGCTTCCTCCCGGCGCTGGGGGGCTCCTCACACCTCTCCCCTCACCGAGCGGGAGCCAGGTAGGCGGCCAAGGGCAGCACGCGGCCTCTGCACCGCCCTGTCCTGCAGCTGGGGCGGCTCCCGCTGGCTGGGCCGTCCCGCGCGGACGCCGCGGCTTACCAGGCCTTGTGGGAGCCGGACTGGCGCAGCACCTTCAGCGGGATCCGCAGCTCTCCCAGGAACTCGTCCCCGAACTTCAAGTTGCTGGCGTTCCAGAGGTCAACTCTGCAAACAGCAGAACACTCAGGTCTCACCAGTTGACAGGTGGGCGGGGCCTGGCGCGGGCGGGGCCTCCAGCGCGTGCGCAGTGAGCTTCAGTGAAGGTCTAGACTGAGCACGTTAAGCCGCGTGGAACCCGGGTGCGGCTCTGGGACAAAGACTTGGTTTCCCGGGTGCAAGGAACAGGCGGGGGGTGGGGGAGTTTGGAGGGGCCGAGCCCCCAGGATGCAGCCCCCAGTGAGGTGATGGGAGGGACCCGCTGGGCCCTGCTATGTGCGCCAGGACGTCGAGCAGGTGCGGCCACTCTGGGTCAGCACCGTCTCCCGTTAGGGGCCCGGGAGCTGCCCGCTTGCCTGGGCGGGGCGCGGGCCAGGCCAGGGCCCTTCCGGGTGCGCCTCGTGGCTGTGCCCAGTGCCGGCCGCGGCTCTGACCTGCAGGGCTCAGCCCAGGACACCGAAGCCACCAGCCCCGGTGGCCAGGTGCCCTGCAACAGCCAGGTGCTCCCTGCTCCCACCTGACGAAAACTCGGTGCCTCCAAACACGCCTCCTCCCTCCACTTAGAACCTTGTTCCCCCAGCTGTGTATGAACCACCAGCGTGAATCCCAGTCCGGGGCCAGACACCCACGGGCACCGTGGCTGGGTCTCGAACACCCGCAAACGGCGGCACCCCGTGTGGCTCTGCATGACAAGTGCGTGCCGTCGTTCCAAGCAGCCTGCTGGTGTCCGGCACGGCAGGGCCCTCGCTAACCCCCTTTCTCTCCAGGGCCTGCTCAGGGTAACCCGACTTGCGGCCTGGGCTGCATCTGATAGGCACAGCGCCGGCCGGTCGGGTGCCCCAGGGTCACGGCTCCACCCACGGAGCGGAAAACCCCTGCGGCAGGCAGGTCTAAGTGTGCTGCGGCAGCCGGCCATGGGCGTGGAGGGGAGAGCCTAGAAGCGAGGCCCGTCTGTTGTCTGCGCAAATCCCAGCGAGAGCAGGTGCACTGTGGGACACCTGGCCTAAAGGAAGCGGGTCTGAACTGTGCAAACTGGGGAAGCCCTGACCCCCCACCCTGTCCCTCACGGCCACCAGCTGCAGGCCCCCCCCCAGACCCACCCCACTGCCGTGATCCCTGGGGGCCGCGGAGCCGCCTGCACACTTGTCCTCACTCTCACGAAGAGGAAATAAACGCCTCTACCAGACAGGGAAGGAGAACGCAGGGCCAGGGGGAGGCGGTTTCGCCGGTGTCCGGCCTGGCGTCTCCCCAGGGAACAGGCTCGGCTGGGGCCGGCGCTGCACAGGCGCCAGACCAGGCCCTCGGAGCGCCGGACCCGTGGCTGCAGTGTGTCTGCCGCCGTGGCCCGAGGTTCCCAGCGGGCAGAGCCTCACGGGCGAGAGCAGCACAGGTGCTTTGACCCTCACTTCCTCCTATTGCAAAGTGAGACCACGCCCGTCTGTGCGGTAAATAAATCTCTGCCAGGCCCGTGGTCCCAACATCTGGGACGTTCACGGCAAATGCTCTCGCCTCAACCACGGCGTCTAACATCCCGGCGTTAGAATCACCAGGAGCGCGCAAACCTGCTTCCGTCCCTGCCCCTGATTCTAGAAGCAAAAGCGAACGGGCAGCAGAGGTGAGTTCGGAGTGAAAGCTCCACGCAGGAGCCTGAGCCTGGTTTCCTCACCCACCTGATTTCCAGTTTGTCCACGTCCTCCTCCTCGAAGTCGAAGTGGGACTTTTTGCTGTAGCTGCAGGGCCTGGTCACCTGGCGTTGGAGGGATAGAAGTGCTCAGGCCGAGCGGCTGCGCAGGGCGGCCCCCAGGCGGTCCGGGAAGGAGCCGGGGCGGGCACCCCACTTACTTGGCAGGAAGTGGAGGCGGGACTGGGATTCAGGCCTGATCTCCTGAGTGCCTGGGTTTGGGGGTGCCGGCACCTCCCACTCACAGCACCCCTGAGAGGAAGACCCAGGGGCTGCACAGGTCATGCAGGAACATGCCCCAAGGCCACAGCTGGCCGAGGCCCTCACTGGGGACCTGAGCTGTCCCCGGACTCTCGGCTGGGCTGGGACAAGCCTCCCGCCTGGCTGGCCCTGCTGCCCTTGCTCCTGACGCAGCATGGGGGAGGGGAGGGGGACAGAGGCCACCACTGCCCCCGACAGCCCCACCTCCAGGCCAGCTCCCTGAGATTCTAGGGACCCCACCCTGCAGGACACACGGGGCCACCCACGACCACACCCACGACCACGCCCACGACCAGCCCCAACTGTGCCCGGCGTCTGGGGAACGGTGAGAAGAACAAAAGACCGAGCACTGCCCTGTTCCTCCTTCCCTCAAATATGGAAAGGGCTGGACCCAGCAGAGGCCACACACCCCGGAGGGCGTCACGGACAGGGCACAGGTGACGTGCTCACAGGCTGCACAGCCCGCTTACTGGTTCTGTTCTTTTCATTATTATTTTGAGACAGGGTCGCGCTCTGTCACGCAGGCTGGGGCAGCGGTGTCGTGACAGCTCAACGCAGCCTCCAGCTCCTGGGCTCAGGGCAGCCTCCCCCCTCAGCCTCCCGAGTTGCTGGGACACAGGCAATCGCCCCCGCCGGCCCGCGTGACTTATCCGTTTTTTGGCAGAGACGGGGCCTCGCTCCGCTCAGACTGGCACCTGCCCTGCTCTGGAGGCTCAGCCCTGGCGCCTGCCGCCTACTGATCGCGGAGCCTCACGTTCAGCCTGGTGACCCGGTGTCTGAACCGTGACCCTCACTGTCGCCGGGGACAAGCCCCCGGCCTGCGCTCTGAGGCCCGGGCGGGGCAGCCGCAAAACCAGAGACCCAACACCGGGCAAGCAAAACCCCAACGTCCGGCCGTCTGGAAGGCATCGACCTGCCGGCTTTCAACACAAGCCCGGCCCTTTCTTTCTGGGGAGAGGATGGGGGTTCCCGGAGAGCCACGTGGGTCCCAATCCCAAGGCTGCCAGCGGCTGTCCCGAAACGGCTCCCAGAGACCACGGCCAGGGCACCGCGATACCAACCTCAAAGTAAAACACCTCGTCAAACTGGGGGTTGTTGGTCTTCTTTTTCACTTTTGTCTTCTTGGCTTCCGACCTGTCGAAAGAGAGGAGGGTCGGGGTCAAACACACCACGGACGCCAAATCTCTCGGTCTCAAAACCGAGCTCTGAGTCCAGGCGCGGTGGCTCACGCCTGTTATCCCAGCACTCTGGGAGGCCAAGGCCGGAGGATCGCTCGAGGTCAGGAGTTTGAGACCAGACTGAGCAAGAGCAAGACCCCTTCTCTACTGAAAACAGAAAGAAATTTAGCCGGACAACTAAAAATATATAGGAAAAATTAGCCGGGCACGGTGGCGCATGCCTGTAGTCCCAGCTACTCAGGAGGCTGAGGCAGGAGGATCACTGGAGCTCAGGAGTCTGAGGTTGCTGTGAGCTAGGCTGACGCCACGGCACTCTAGCCCGGGCAACAGTGAGCCTCTGTCTCAAAAAAAACCACAAAAAACAAAAGAGTAAGGTCTCAGAGGCACACATAAAGTTCCACCTTATTTAGCTTATAAACATCTCTGTCTCCAGCTGCCAGTGTGCAAACCAGGAGCCTTTGCTGAGCCAGACACCCAGCTGAGGACACGTGGGGACACAGGGCTTTCTTGTCACACGACAAAGAGCAGGAAAGGAAAGGCGGGAACGGACACGCCCCTGCGGCCCGCCCCTCCCAGCACCGCACGGGGGGCGACTTGCCTGAGTGGTCCTGCCAGGGTCACCGTGGCGTAAGGGTCACACTGCCCGTTCACGATGGGGAGGCCTTGGCACTCCACGACGCTGGGGAGACAAGGGCAGAGGCTGGGGGAACGCGGGCCACAGGTAAGGGCAGGGGGCGGGCTTCCTGGAGCCCCGCCCACTGGGCGGTGACAGCTGCACGTGGCTGGCGGGGGCAGCTGCGTCTGGGGCTCAGCTGGAGGGGGTTGGTCCCCCTGGCAGGTCCCAGACAGCTGCGCCCCGAGACCCTGGCTCCCCATGGCCGGTGTCCTGGGGTTCTGCGCGCCTCCCTGGCTCTCCTGCAGCATCGCAGAAGCAGGAACAACTCAGTCCCATTTCACAGACGGGGAAACTGAGCCCTCCCGACCCCGCGGGGCCAGACGGCCCCGCCCCGTCGCGGACTTCACTCGCCCGCGGATTCCCACCCGTGGGCGGGGCGGCTGCGACGGCTCGGGTGTGCTGCAAGCTCTGGAACTGTCGCACGGCTACAACACCGTGCTGCGTCCTGGCGGGTCGCGTTTTGCGTGGCGGCTGGACGTCGTGAATTGCATGGGCCTGGGGTCGCGTCCACTCCTGCTGCTCCGAAGCGTGTGTGCGCGGACTCGTGCGCCCCGGGAGGGGCCGCTCCCCGCAGTCACCAGGATGCCCTCGGACTCCCGGACCTCACCTCCGCCACTCGGCCAGGACCCTGCCTGGGGGCCTGCACGGTGCGGGGCCTCCGTCCCAGGGACACGGCTGCGCCCAGAGCCCGCGTCCGAGGGCGTGCGCGCACGGCACGTTCCGTGGGTCACGTGTGTGGGGCGCAAGGACCGGGTGTCCGTCCTCCCGTGAGCTCACGGGCACAGTCCGCAGCGGGCTGGCTAAGACGGAGGATCGCTCCTCCCGACCTTCGAGCTTCCGCGCCTCCCCCCCTCCCCGCGCCCGGCAGGTGCGCCCCGCAGGTGCGCCCGGCAGGTGTGCCCGGAGCTGCCGCCCCCTGGAGGCCCTCGGGCGCCTCTGAGCATCTCACGGAACTTTTCTACGCAGGGGTTTGTCTCCGTCCACAGCAGGCGTGCGCCACGCCGCCCCCACGCTGGGGGCCGTTCCTGGAGTTCCCTCCTCTCTCTGCTCTGTACCATTTTTTTCTTCCAGAAATCCTGCCTCCGCAATGGATCCCTTATTCCTATGAGCTCAACCCAAGGGTTTTCGATCTTTCCCGCTTCCTCTGCTTTCTGGGGTGTTTCTGTTTTCTCCAAGATTGTTCACCTGGTCTCTGGTCAGCCTCCTTCACTCACGCACCTCCCCGCACTGCCCTGGCCCCCAGTGCGCTACAGGAAAACGTCCGGGAGCAGGAGAGATCCCCGGGCGGCCATCCCCGAAAACGCACAGGCCGGCGGGAACCTGGTGGCCCCTCGGACACCCCCAGAGCCCCACGCCTGAACGCGGTCCCCGTGCTGTGCGGGAGCAGCCGGCGCAGGACGGAGTCCCCAAACACAGGAGGAGAGAGACCCCACTCTGCCCTCAGAGGGCGTCTCACTCCCTGAACCGGGAAACACACCAAGTGGCCAACGCAGCCAACTAATCTGGGATTCAGAGTGCAAGGAGCACAACACGTTGTATTCACTTTAACATTCATAGGTTTTGATGTTGGATATAACCTTTAAAAACGGTCACAGAGTAACGGCCTCATAGAGTGAGCGCCCTGCAGACACTCTCCCCACCGGCTGGACAGAACGAGCCCCGTGTGCTTTTGCAGTGACGTCCCAGACCCAGAAACGTCTGGTAAATAAAACACCAAAGCATCAGAAAGCACTGCAAGTTATTATCTCCATTGTGTCAGCCAGGAAACCGAGACTCAAAGATGAATCTGCTGTCCCAAGTGCATGTGGCCAGGGTTCAAGTCCAACTGTGGCTGTCTCCAAAGCCTGTGCTACGTGCAGAAGGGGTGCATGATGGTGGGTGGTGGCAGGATGAGGGATGAGTGGATGAGGGAAGGATAGATGAATGATGGGTGGACAACCGGTAATGGGTGGATGGTGGGTGGATGGATGGATGGGGAAGGATAGATGGGTGGATGATGGGTGATGGGTGGATGAGTGAATGGATGAGTGCATAGTGGAAGGATGGTGGGTGGATGGATGGGGAAGGATAGATGGATGATGGATGATGGGTGGATGATGGGTAATGG